CACCGAGCAGCGGGGTTGAGGCCGAGCCGCCCCTCGGTGAGCGCCGAGCGCTGGCAGCCGCGCCGCAAACATCTGCTCTTCCAGCGACCCCATGATTCACCGGTTATTAATTGGGGTTTGGCAGTGCTGGGATGTGTTTGCATCCCCTGGCTCTGCTCAGAGCCACAACTCGCTGCTGACAGGCGTTGGGTGCCAGAAAAGGAGCCAAGAGCAGCAGTGCACCGGGCGCAGCGGAGCCGGGCCAGGACGGGCACGAGGCGCTGGGCACAGGAGCGGTGCAGCACTGCGAGCGGTGCCAGCAGCAGTGCCAGGAGCCCAGCGCTGCTCCTGGGGCTGCAGGTGGTGGTGGCAAGGCACTGCCTCGGCTCCCACTCTTGGCAGCATTACTGGGTGCTGTTGGTTCGTCCTTCCCTGCTGCAAACAGCACTTGGTTTGCGTAGGGTCTCCTGGATGCTCCCATGAGCAGCACTGAGCTGCTCAGGCATCGAGAACTGCAGAGCTCGGGTAGCATCAGACAAAGGCTTTGAAAAGCCTCCTCCAAAGAGAGCCAAGAGAAATATGAATTCAGAAGCTGATTAGAAACCATGTCATGGCTCGTTCCAACTCCAGCATTTGGGGAGGAGTGAGCTGGAGGGGGGTGGGGGGAAACGTGCAAAATCTAACTGGGATTTAGGGAAGGCTTTATGCACAGGGAGATGCTGGAGCACATCTGCTTGCAGGGCGGGGGGACACCAGAGCACCCCCGGTCCTGCAGAAACGTGGAAAGCACAAATTAATTCTCTTTAATCTGATGGGCACCAGCCCTGCTGCCACGTGCGGCTGCCACAGCTGGCAGCAAACAGCCCGGCCCCACTGCGCCGTGCCCCCATCGTCAGCACTGGGTCTGCAGAACCCCAAGGATGCTCCGACTGGCACAGTGCTGCTCCACAGCCCCAAAGGCCGCTCTGTGTTTCCCGTCCCATCATTTTCCCCACACCGCAGGCTGTGGGAGGGATGCTCCATCCTCCTCCATCCACCCATTGCTGGGGCCCATCCACCTGTGCATCCCGGCCCCCCCGCCTGCAGCACGTCTGCTGCTATTCTTAGCTCCCAGCCCTGCGCTCTCCCAGGCGATGGCACCGTATTTTACTATTATTACTCGCTGCCAACGGCTCGGAGCAGGCAGCCAGGATCGTGGTGGGGCTTCCACACCCCTGTTGACCTGTCATTCGGTCCCTGTCGGGGTTTGGGCCTCTACGTGCTATTTCAGGAAATCCAATTTTATGGTCAGAAGGAGCACACGCCACGCATTCTGCTCCCAAGCTGAATCCAGGCCTTTCGCATCGCCCTCCTCCAGATTTTAGCTTCGCCCATGATGGAAACAAGGGCCAAGAGTCACCTTTGGCTCCAGATCCCAATTTCTGCCTCGGTGGGATCCAGGGTTTCAGCTCAGCAGATCAAAGAGAAGCGCCTGCAAAACCTGGAGCTGGAGCCCCACGGCAGCACATGGGCACCGAACCCATGGGGCCGGATCCTGTCCACGCGGGTGGGCACAACCCACAGCCACAAATGGGCTCTGCCCCGAGCTGCCAATGAATGGGGAGGCAGAGGAGGAGCCCCTGTGCATCGCAGCATCCTTCACCCTCCCCTCCAAAATCTGCCACCAGTGGGGCATCGCAGGCAGGAATAACGCCGCCCCACAGCTGGGAAGCTCAGCACTTTGATGGCAATTTTCTCCCTCCAGCTCTGCCAGCACTTGACAAAACACTTGGGATAAGGGATGGCTTGCCTCGTGCCCGGATCCCAGCAGCAGCGCCCACGGTCGCGTGTCCTCGATGGCCGTGTGTGCAGGATGCTCAGAGCTGGGAGGCGAGGGACTGAGATAGACAGGAAATGACATCCATTTCCTAAAGGGGAATCTGCGCTGCCGGCCGAATCCTGCCCCATTTACAGTGAGGGAGGCTCTGGTGGGGGCTGCTGCTGCCCATGCATGGCTCCGGCTCCTCCTGCACGTTTGGTGTTTTGTGCTCAGCCCCATGAGGGGGGTGACAAGCGGGGCTGAGTGTCACAGGATGGGAAAGCTGAGCGATCCCAGCGCCAACTTGCTCTGCAGGTTGGGCATGAGGTGGAGGGACAAAATCTGATCATGCAGGGGAAGGAAGGCTGTGAGAGAAGAGAGGGACCCAGATCCCATCCCCTATAAGCCCCCACTGTGGGGCCAGGTTGGACCACAAAGCCTGGAAACACAATGAGAGCCACAGCCCTGCGGCCTGCACCCACCTGGGACACGGCTGTCACAGCCCCAGAGCCCTCATGCTGCCAGCTCCACGACTGCCGAGGAGGGAGACCCCCGAGCTGGGGGGGGCTGGGCCTGCCCAAACCCAATCTGAGCCCTCGGAACCAGGTGAACACCGGGACCACATCCAAGGGATGGCTGCAGCGATGGCACAGCCTCTCGTGCCCGGGGGGCGGGTGATGCTGGATGCTCCATCCCTGCCCTCCCCATCTCAGCCCCCACGCAGCGGCACCAAACGGCTCTCGGGTGGGCACCGAGCATCCCACTGCGGTGCCTGTGAATACCACGACCCACCCGGCCGCCCCCAGCTCTGCTCCAGCCCCAGCGCAGCCCCAACGCCTTCCCCGAACCCGCAGCCGCGCTCACACCGACCCCCGCGGGATACCGCGCAGGGAGCGGCTGCGGGAAGCGAACGGCAGGAGAGGCAAAGGGGCCGCCGGGAACACCGCGAGCACCCCTCGGCAGCCCGGGCACCAACCCCAGACAGCCCCCCCGGTGCCCACCCCGATACCCCTCCGCAACCACCCGGTGCCCCCGCAGCCCGCCGCCCTTACCCCTCTCCGCCGCCTACATCCCGCGGCTGGTGCGGGGCGGCCCCCCGACGGCCCGGCGCTGCGGGGCTGGGCACGGTTCGGCCCGGTTCGGTTCGGCACGGCTCGGCTGGGCTCGGCTCGGCCCGGGCCGGCGCCCCGCGCGTGGAAGCGCGGCGGGAGGCAGCATGCGAGTGGCGGCGGCCCCGCAGTGCAGCGCGGAGCGGAGCGCGGCCGCCGAGGCGCAGCCAAGACGCGGCGGTGGATTTTCCCCGGGAATCAGAGCGGGAGGCGGCGGCGGCGGCGGCGCAAAGATGGCTCCGGTGCGGCTCTGCCGCCGCCTCCCGGCGCCCCGCGACCCCCCGCTCCGGTGCGGCTCAGCCGGGCCGGGAGGGGGAACCCGCGGGGCCGCGCACGGGGACGGGCAGCTGCGCGCCTTGGGGGTCCCTCCCACCAGTGGGCTTTCCTCCCGGGACCCCCTTTACCCTCCCGGGAAGCCCCGAGGGGCTCAGCCCCCTCCCCCTCCCAACAATGCCGGCGGCAGCCGCCCTCTCGCAGAGGCCCTCGTGCCAGGAGCTGTAATTTGCTAATAATAATAATTACAGCACTCGCAGGGGACAAGTGCAGCAGAACAACGGGGTGGGGAACGCCTCGCTGTGTGCAGTGGCGGCGGTGGCACGGTGGCAGAGCCCGGCCCTGACCCAAAGCCACCCACCAGTCTGGACGTGGGGCAACGGCACGGCCCCTGCGAGCTCCTGGAGCTGTTTTTGAGGTTTTTTCCCCCCTTAAATTGTTTTTTTAAGCAGCCACATTCCGTGCCCTGTGCCCACATCCCAGCACTGCGGTCCTTGTGCAGGCCACTGTCACCACGTGGGTTGTCACAGCATCCCAGCTTACAGCAGTGGTCCCATCGTATCCCACCACACTGAATAGGGTCACAGGGAGCCGTGGTTCGCCAGCACAGCCCCCGGCCTGCAGACTGCCCCCGTCTCCATGTGCGACCCCCCAGCTCCTGGTGCACGTGGGGACCAGCAGCGCTCTGCCGACCTCCTCATGAAGTTACATAAAACAATTAAAATTTCATGCGTGCTCCTGAAGGCGAATATCGGGGCTGCCGATGCGGCTGGGTCACGGCACGGCGTGGGGCACGGGCGCGAGTGGGCCGTGCTGAGATGCAGCAGCACAGCGTGCAGAAGCTGCGGGCACAGCACGGCGCCCAGCCGCACCCCGGCCCCTTGCGAATGTTCCTGCCTCGGTTTGCGGCACGTGGAAATCCCCCCCGCCGCAGCGCAGTGCCCACATCCATGCAGCGCAGCCCCTCTGCCCCCAGCAGCGTCCCCAGAGGGATGTGAGGGGAGCAAGACACGGATTTTGGGGGTGCCGGACGGCGCGGCTGGGGGCCGAGGCCATGCTGTAGCAGCGGGACCCCGCGCAGCCCCTCTCCCCCCGCACGCTGCTTTACGTCCTCCGAAAGCATCGATCGTGCCGAGAGCCCTGCCAAGGGACTGAGACCCCCAGGTGTGGGGCAACCCGTGCCATCGTCTCCCCCCAGCCCCTCCATCATCCTCCCGCTCCCCCCGGAGCCCCCCCGGCCGCAGAGCAGCGCCCACCGCTCACATTCGCGCGGTGCCGGGGACGCAGGGCTGAGGCAGCGACAGAACGAAACGGGGCTGGAAAACACCACCCGCCTCCCCCGCAACGCCACGGCCCCGCACCGCCTCTGCCGCTCGAGGGCTCCCCGGGGAGAGGAGACGGCGCGGGGGGGTTCGAGGCCCACGGGTGGGAAAGGGGGGGGGGGCCGGGGCTGCCCCTGCCCGGCTGCGTCCCGGCGTTCGGAAAAGAGAGGCGGGCAGCTGTCGGCTCATTCCTTTTTAATCCGGCGGAGGATTGACGCCGAGGGCACGGAGAGGGACGGGCTTTGCATGGCCCCACCGGGAGGCCCCACTTAAAGCGGTGCAGTAATTTCAGCGGTGCACATCCCCGAGGGACCCCCAGGAGGGGATGGAACCCTCGGACTTCGCTCCACACTGTGGCTCGTGGCTGCTGGGGATGGCAGCGCTGTGCTGTGCACATGTGAGAAGGGAACCACGTGCCCACACTGCGTGGGGATGTGCTGAGAGCACAACGGGGGCGGATGGAGATGGGGGCGTGAGGTGAGAGCCCCCGAGGAACGGAGCCCCTCAACCCCCCCAGCCCTATGTGGAGGTGAAGGAGATGGCACGGCCACCAGGAGCCGAGCCGTGGGGGGCAGATGGGGACAGCGGGAGGCAATGAGCAGCTGCACGCAGCGTCCTTCCCAGGTCAGCACGGAAGCGTCGGATGCAGAAGCAGTAGACGAGGGGGTCAAGGCAGCTGTTGAGGCTGAGCAGAGCCACACTCAGCACGTGCAGCACATCCAGGGCGGCCGGGGGCCCACAGGGCGGCGTCGGGGGCCGACTGCCCACCCAGGGAGCCAGCATCAGGTGATAAGGAGCCACGCACACCGCAAACACCAGCAGCATCCCCAGCACCATGGCGCGGGCCTGCTGCCGGTGCGACCCCGGGGAGGGGACGGCGGTGTCGGACAGCGAGCGGGCGATGGAGGCGTAAGCGCCCAGCACCACCACGAAGGCGACGGCAAAGAAAGCCACCATGGCATAGGCATAGGCCCGCTGCCGCGCGTGCTGCTCGAAGCAGGCGGTGGCTCCGGCACGCGCCGGTGAGGTTTGCCGGGTGCTGAGGGCGGGTGCAGCACAGCCCAGACCCAGCAGCCACGCCGCACCGCACGCCAACGCCGCCCCACGGCGCCCCGCCAACGGCAGCGCCCGATGCACCGCGCTGAGCCGATCCACGCTGATGAGCGCCATGAAGGTGACGGCGCTGTAAGTGGCCAGGTAATAGGCGGCGCCGGCCAGGCGGCACGCGGCCTCCGGCAGCATCCAGTCCCCCCCGGCCAGGTAATAAGGGATCCAGAGAGGCAGCGTGAGGTTGAAGAGGATGTCGGCCAAGGTCAGGTTGATGAGGTAGATGCGGACGGCTTTGCGCACTTTGCCGCGCTGCAGGAAGACCAGCAGGGCCGCCAGGTTGCCCGGCAGCCCCACGCACAGCACCAGGCAATACACGACGGGCAGCAGCACAAACTGCACCGGGTCGCTGGGCACGCACGTGGCCGGCACTGAGATGTTCATCCCAGGGTCCTGCGGAGATGGAATCCAGCACAGGGCTTGGCTTGGCTCCATAGAGACTCTCTTCACCCCCTCTCCTCCCCCCCTGGGCCCCCATCCACACGGCCGGCACGGCGCACTCTGAGAGCGGCAGGCACAGCTGTGCTGTGGCCATGGGGCTGAGCTGCAGATGGCGGCACCCGGAGGTGCTGTACTGGCTCCAGCTCAGTGCTGTGGGGTGTAACGCTGATCCCCCTGCTCTGCCGTGCCCCCATCGCCCCACATCCCACCCAGAAGTCAGCACACAGGGGAGCACACGATGGGGAGAGGTCGCAGCATGGGGCAGTTTGTAGCCCCAGCCCTGCAGGGCTCTCCCAGCACTGTGCACCCATGGACTCATCGCCGTTCTCCACTTCTGGGCATGGAAAACCTCTCTCTGTTGTAATCCCCGTAGCACAGAGCTGCAGCAATTTCACCTCTCATCACAGCTGCCCACACCTCAGCGATGGCTCTGAGTCACCCAGCGGGCGGCTCTCAGCACAGCAGGGCCAGACTCAGCGCAGCATCCAACACTGTATCAATGCAGGACTCATCCAGTGGGCCTGAGCTGCCTTGCAGACCCCCAGATCCCTTAACAATCCCTGTTTCTTTTCCCTTTTACTGGCAAATAGGGGATGCACCCACCCAGCCCTGCACCCCACACTCAGGGCATGGTCCCAAGCTCCATCCCATCCCTGCTCAGCAGGATGCTGCAGTCACACTGAGCTGATTGCTTACCACGCGTCCCCTCCAGCTGCTCTGAGTTGTCTGGCAGAGCTGGGCTGCAGGGAGCTTTAAATGCTCCGGGTGGGCTGGGAGTGCTTCATTTCCACCCCTGTAGGAGTGAGTGCAGCCAGAGAGAGGAGGCACCTGTGTGTGTTTGTAATGGGGGAGGCCACACTGGAGCCATGCTAAGACCCCTGCGCCAGCGTGGGCTGGGGAGAACGGGGGGGAACCTCCAGGCCCATTTCCCAGGCCCCACATGAAAGCAGCAGAGGTCAAATTTCTGCACTTAACAGCTGGGGGGAAGGAGGGGGAGGAGGGGGCAACCAAATGGGATCAAAGCCGGAATCTGCCTCTTTGTGCCTTCATTTGCTTCAAAGGGGGATTCAGTGGGAGTAGTGCCCCGGGTCCCCCCAGCACCACAAAGAGGAGGCAGCCCCCTTCCTGCTGCCTCGCACGGCAATGCTTGGGTGCTGTTTCGGGTCAGGATCCCCCAGTGGAGGTGCTGTGATCAGTTTGCCCCAAACGTGTCCCAGCCTCTTTGATGGTTGATGCGCAGGGTTCCAACGTGACCTCGGGGTTGTGCCCAGCTGTCACCACAGGGCATTGAATGCATCCTGGAGGGCAGATGTGCCCTGACAGAGCAGGGTGCTCAAGAAGCTCTGCTGAAATAGGGTGGGGTTGGGGACACGGCTGCTGTCCCACCTGGATGTGCAGTGAGCAGCCGGGCGCATTGCGGGGTCACCACCGGGCTCCCATCCCATGCAGACGCTGCCCCTGCACGACACCCACATTGCCATCATCCCCAGGCGCTGCTCCAGCAGCCCTGCACCTCCTGCCACACCTCAGGGACTCCCCAGTCCTGCAGCTCAGCATGGAGGGAAGCAGAAACGGAGGAGGCAAAGCATGAAAAAAACAGAGGCTTTATTCCAAAAAACCACAACCCGCCCCCCCCAGGAGCCCAGCGCCAGCGCCGCACCGCAGTGATGGCAGTGCCACGGTCACCATCCATCCCGCAGCCGGGACAGCACACAGCTCCACATCGCTCACATCGCTCCACAGCAAGCAGAGCCACCGCTAAAAAACAGCCCCGACGGCACCGAACGGCCGCGGCCTCCCGTCACAGCACCGCCGTCCTCGCTCCGTCCCGGCTCATTCTGCCTTGGCCTTGGCAGGCGCTGCGTGCCCGCGGACGTTGAGCAGCAGCAGCAGCCCGAGGCACAGCGTGGCGGGGGCACACATGGCCAGCGGCTCCCGCAGCGCCAGCAGCGTGTAGATGGCACCTGGGGGGGCACGGGACGCTGGCACGAGGCGAAGAGCGGCGGAGGGCATCCCCGACACCCCCCCCCCCCCCCCCCCCTCCCCCCCGCCGGCTCTCACGCACCGATCATGACGACGCTGAGCACGAAGTTGCTGATCTCCTGCAGCAGCTGCGGCCCGAAGGCGAGGAGCAGCCCGGCCGCCGCCTCCACCGCACCGACGGCCGTCAGGTAGGAGCCGGGAGAGGGGGAGAAGCCGAAGTCCCTGAGGGGGAACACCTCCGCGAATCGCACGAACTGCTCCTGCTGGAGGGCGCAGCGCAGGGCACGGCTCCGGCATCGCTGCCCACGCGGAGCTCCGTGCGGCGCGGCGCCCCCCGGGACCCCCTCACCATATGGCGGTGCGAGTCGGCCGAGAGCCGCTCCGAGAGCTTCACGGAGCCCGCGAGAAGGAAGAAGAGCCCTAGGAGAACGCGAAGAGCCCGGAACGCCGCCGCCATGGCAGGGATGGGGCGGGGATGGGGCGGTGCGGAGCGGATCGGGACGGCCCTTCCGGCTGCTGCCGTCCTGCGGCCGCTCGATCCCTGCCCCTATCCGTGCTCCTACCCCTGCCCGCAGCTCGGGATGCAGCGGTGCCGGTGCCGAGCCGCTGCTGGCATTGCTGTTCCCTGCCCTGCTGGAGCACCGACCGATGGCAGCACGCAGCTCTGGCGGCCCGCGAGAAAGGGGAAAGAAAAGAGCTGGCCCTCCCTGCAACGCTGGGGTCGGCAGCTCCAGGCCCCGCACGCGCGGCAGTGCTTCATTGAGTGCAGGAAGGATCCAGCGCTTCTGCAGGGACACACAGGAGCGAGCTGCGGGAGAGCAGCGCGGAGAGGAAGGAATTTTCCCTTTGCTTGCGAGAAACGCCTTCCTTCAGCAGGGCTGGGGCACAGATGGGAGCCGGCTGCAGTTTTTTTGTGCAGAAGAGCAAAATCATTGCAGCGTCTGTTTGCTTCCCTCTGCTCCCCGGCCCCGGCAGTGCGCTGTGCTGGGAGCGGAGCAGCGCTGCCCCTCGGCTGCGCGTCATCACCGCAATGACTCAGAGCTCAGCAATAAATAACAGCGCCCCGCGCAGCCCCGACCTCACGGGAAGCAGCTGCGGACAAAACACGGCTCCTTCTTTCACCGAACCCCCCGTCCAGCCCCACCTGGGATCCCGCTGTCTTTAGATTCAAGAACCCCCTTCTAGGAGTCGTTCATCGTTTGTCGGGCCTTAAAGGAATCGTCCCCATTCAGCACAAGGCCAGACAGCAGCAGCTGCCCCAGGCGCGTTCGTTCTGCATCTCACTGCCCCATCCTCCTCCCAGCAGCAGCCAGCAATCCCAGCCCCAACCGCTCCCAGCACAGCCCCCCATCCAGCACGGACCCCAACACCACAGGCGCCCACCCTCAACCCCACGCTTTGCACATAGAGTTGATCAGGCTGATGAAACAGCAGAACCGACGCCTCGGCTCCAGCAGGCAGGGAACAACAAGCAGCTGCCAGCACAGCATGAGCTGATGGAAACGCAGCACGAGTCGTGGCTCAGGTGGCAGAAGGGCCAACGCAGCAACGGGGAGAGAAAAAATGAGGGCTTTGTGCAGCCCTCCAAAGCACATCCATCAATTTCCAATATAAAAACCACCGTTTGCTTATAAAAGGTGTGGGAGGTGAAGAGAGATGTGAATGCTGATGTCACTGAGGGGGAAACAGAATTAGGGCAAGTTACTGGAAAACAGCAGGAATTTGAGGGGAAAAAAGGCTGCGTGAGAGGACAGCAGCCATGGAGACAAGACAAGCAGTGCAGTTCATGCTCTTTGAAGCAGCAGCAGTGGTTGGAACAGTGACGTTTGAGCCATTGCAGAGCAGCTCTCAGGGCTGAGGGCCTTTCCACCTCTCATGCTGCCCTGCCAGCAGGGGGATGAGCAGCATGATGCACGGCTGGCCCAGGCTGACCAAAGGGACGCCCCCCAGCACGCAGTAAACACGAGGGAAGCCTGGCAGTGCTGCCTGCACAGCAGATGCTGCATTTGATCCTTCCCAGCCCAAGGGCAGGAGGCGCTCAGCCCCAGCGCTGCAACACCACGAGGAGCCACCTCTGCAGGTAAGGCAGCTCCAGTTCTCTCCTCAAGCTTCCTCCTCCTCAGTTAGAACTGAAGTCTAAATTACGAGGTGAGTAGTTTAACTTTCTGCACATCACACAGTACTGATGAATCTAATTAGCACAACCTAATCACCAAACTCATCTGCTAACGGCACGTAATGCAGCACCACTGCACCTCCTGCAGTCACTGCACTGCAGTTTAGGAACCACAGAACCTCTCCTGGAAATCTGACAGCTGTCAGTAATGCAGAGATGTCAAAAACACCAACAAATCCTTCACCTCACTGCACCAAGAGGTGAAACACAACAGCTCAGGGCTCCAGCGCAGCGCCAACCTTCCCCAGTGCAATTATGCAGAGTGGCTTTAATGCATCACACCTGTCCTATCCAAGAAAATCAATTTGAACCATGGAAACTCACGCTTTAAGAGCAGGAAAAAAAGCACTGCTCTGGTTTTCAGGGAACTCCAACCCTGGCATCCAGTTTGAACTGCTGCAGTCATTGAGTAAATGACGACAAACCAATCGAGCAACGTGCAAACAGTGAGAAATCCAACAGGTACACAGAGCCCTGCAGATGGGGATGGAACGGGTGGAACTTCCAGAATCAACTCGAGTGCCTCAGGGGAAAGAATCCAGGAAAAAATCAAGCTGGTCTCTCTCACAAAAGCCCACATGGCTGCACGCTGGTCAGGAAGCACAGCTACCCCACAGCTGGCGTAGGTCAACTGGCAGAACGAGGCCAGGGCACAGCAGGTGAAAAACAGACACGTCACAGCCCTCAGCTCAGGGTGGGCGCCTCGTGTGTTTGCCACGTGAAGCCCAGTGCCTGAACCCCTTCCTCACCCAGTGCTCAAAGCACATCCTGCATTCCCCTTCCACAGGCTCGCACTGCAGGCAGTTACTCAACACAGAACATAACGGCTCACCTGCTGAATGCACTCCACAACAAAACAAGGCAGCATTAAGAAAATTCAAATACTTTATTTTTAAAAACTCCTAGAACGTTCCTGGCTCCTCTTCACTGCATTTGGGCTTCATCTTCTTCTGCAAGTACAAAGCGTGCCGTTAGCCAGAACATAGAAATCACCACCAGAAATCACAAGCAGCCACACAGAAAGGGAATCAGTGCATCACGAAGGAAGGTCATGCACCTGACAGACTTCCTCTAGAATCTTAAGGTCTCTTGTTAGGCTTGAGATGAAATGAACAGCATCCACATTGTCCTCTACTCCAAACTTAAAAGATCTGAAGTGGCTTCGTGCTTCACTACCCAAGAAACAAGAGCAGCAGTGACAAGTCACACTGGATCCAATCAGTTCACTGATTGAATCTCATCACCTTCACGACTTGCAGGGTGAGCTGCAGCACGTCTGGGTTGTCACTTACCCCTCCCTCGTGTTACAGAACTTTGCATGTTGCTCTCCACTCAAGATTTAAACAAATCTGCAGCTCCCCTTGTAGTTTAAGTAGCAAATTAGAGGGAAGATGTCATTAATTCCAGCTCTACAAGTTACTTTATTTCCCTAAACCACTACCTGCTCCTTCTCGTTAAGTTCAGTGTTCATTAACTACTTCAAAAACACAGCTTTTGTAGCAACTTTAACACTTAATTATCTGCTTCATTGCTCTCCTCCTTTGCTGACAATCACTGCACCCCATTCCCAACCCATCCACTTCAGCCTCAATCTTAGGCATGATTATTTCCTGCCCTGACCACCTGCAGCGTTCAGAAAACGGTTTTGCATGATGCTGCATGGCTGAAAAGCCTAAACCAACAGTCATACTTTGGCTCTACAAAAGAAATACTGCTTTTATATAAAAATGAGATCAATCACAGAAGCTTCAGGCAGGAATTACCCCACACATCCCCTTGCGATGTGCTGCTCTAACAGATCAGCAGCCTAAGGGCATTCTCTACTTACTTGTTGCCTTGTTCCCTTGCTCCACTCACATCACGGGACATCACGCTGGATGTGCTCATGCTCAGCTCCTGAACTGGAAAAATCATCACAGCTTTTATCAACAGCAGGTCTGCAATCTGTCATACAAACAGAAAGGTGTTTCTGCTCCCAAGTGCCAAACCCAGGTCACAGCCCCACAGCAGCACACCAAATCCCACATCTCACACACTCGCTGCTCGTTTCCCACTGACTGCACACCAACTGCCCATTTTGTTATTCCACTGTTCAGAACAGGACAGGGCTGTGCTTACCTCTCATGGATGAGCACCCCAGTTTCACTCAGCTCGCATCTTCACCTAAAGGATAACAAGTGAAGTTATTACAATAACATACAGAAACTTCTAACCATTTCAAAGCTAACTTAAAAAGCAAAGATTTCAGATACGTGGACTGATTAGTTATGAAGGGGAATTTACAAACTATTCCAAAATATTAAATGGAAGAATAAGGGGCAGAAATAGGCTAGCCTAAGCACTTGTAAAGAAGTGAAGGAAAATGCATGTAGTTGACTGAAGAACTGCACCTTGTCAGAGCACAAACCGTAAATCACCAGTCTGAGTACAATGTGGTTTGATTGCAGCCAGAGGTATACTATCCCTTATGTGAAGGCATTAAGGATTCCAATCAAGCTACTTCTTCTATTTGAGCCTAGTTTGTCTCCTGTACAATGCCCTCTTCCTTCTGCTTCGTGAAGGAGTGCAGTGCCCCTTATTCCTAGCAGCCCCCAGTTCGATAGTCCTAGAAGTGCTTCAAAAGCCAAAGGAAGACACTAGAGATTAGCACTGGAAGTCTACTGCTTTTATTCTAAGCGACAGCTTCTTCCCTTCTGACCTCCCCCCCCCTTTTACTTACAGCTTAATTGAGGGCAAACTTCAATGGTTAGCAACTAGGGATGTAGCAGTACAAGGTTCTGTGCACACCTCAAGCTGGGAGGCAAATCGCAATGCTCACAGTGGGATTTCACCAGGTAGGGAAAAGTTCAAGTTTAGTCTCCAACCCACCACCTGGGTTTTATCATGGCCCTCGGGAGCAGAAAGAGAGTATGCACATTTTGTTTTCTATGCCATAGCAACAAACACCATGCATAAGGGATACTATATCTTTGTGCATCCTTTTAACACTCCAGATTCACTTCCATAGCCACACTCCTCCCAGCCCTCCCAGTTAGCTCTTCAGTACTGGTGCTCAGAAGCAACATTTATAGAGATGGGGTTTCACAGACCACTGCGGGATTGCACAGCCAAGTCCTAACATGTCAATCATTACCTAGCAGCAATGACAGAAGTGGGAGAAGGCCAATCCTCCCTTTTTTCCTTTTCCAGTAAGTAGCTATTTAAGAGCCCCACTAGCTGGTATGGAGAGAGAAATCTGAAGCTAATTAGCCGATTCCAAACTTCCTAGTAGTGGAAGAAGCCAAGTAATTAGTCAGAGCAGCAATACTTTTTATGCATCCTTTCTAACGAGCTTAGCCTTATTTAACGTGATGGAACAGAACACTGGCCTTCCTGATCATGTCACTGCAGCTGGCAATGATTAACAGAGACATGCAACCCCATTACTGCTGAAGTCCTAAAACTACTCACAGGCCTCAGTGTTTAGCTATGGGGAAAACTGCAAGCAAATCAACACTTTGGATGCTTAATGTTACAGTAAAGCCCCCATACACGCTATGCTGTGCTCTCCTGACAGCACCAGAATCTGGCCTGAGGGCCTAACAGGTACGCATATGTATTCTGACACCACACTTCTGAGCTTCAGATGATCTTTTTGAGAAAAAGTGTGTTTCACACCAAGATAGAAAACCAAGATGAAACACAATGCAAGCACTTCAATGCCATTGGTTGGTACGCGCTTGTTACAGACTGGCTTTTCAGTTATCTACCACACCGAGTTCCATTACTGCAGGCAGTTAGAGCTGGTATGAGACCTATGGTTCAGTCACAGGTTGCTTGCTCCAAGAGTGTCAAAACCCTACCAAGTTTAAGTATGTAGAATAGAGCAGATGTGCCCATAACCCCTCCACGACATTTCTGCAGGTAAAGTCAAGTGTCCAGAGCACACTGGAAATACTACTTCCATCTGAGCATCGGTTTAAAGATTAACAGTTCCGTTTTACTACATGACAGCATGCACACTGTCAGCAGTTTTGCTGCTGAATTCCAGTCCCAGGTTTAGAGTAAGCCATCACCAAAAAAAAAATAAATAAAAAAATCAAACTGACTTTGTGACAAACTGTGCCCCTGTTTGGTCAGATTTGAGCTACACTCACTGCGCTCTAAGCAAAGGCCTAACATTGCAATCTTGAGATGTAAGGTGCAGCTGGCTGCTTTCAGAGGAACACTGTAAGATAACTACAGCAGGGCAAGGCTGACCAGCAGATCACGTGTTGGACAGCAAGAGTATTTTCTTGAACATAACACAGATTGGTGCAAAATACCGGAAACGAGTATGCAAAGCAGAACTTTGCAGATCAAGTGGGAAAACACATCACAGCACCTCTGAAAAAGCTGATCAGACGAGCCAGGTCGTGTGCTGAAACAAGGGACCTTGAAATTCAGGTTCAAGAACTCATGCAAAAGAGCTGGAGATCAGCATGTCTGGATGTCTGGAAACGTAAACACGTTAATCCTGAAAAGCTACATTCAGCATTTCTATTAATGAAGAGTTTAGAATCACATCCTCGAGACAGATGAGAAATGAAGATGAGCATCACGCTACCAAGATGACTGAGAGGCAGAAGTAAAGAACCTCACCACTGTCCAAGGCAGAGAAATGTACTTTGTTTGCCAATCGAGGGTTAATTAAAGACAACTGAGATGTCCAATAAGCTCTACTGAAATTTTACAGGGCTATTCACTCAAGCAGTCATACGTATGTCCTGAGAAGCATTCCCAATCCATCCTGAAGCTGACCACGTTACTGAGCTTTGGCTACCAGTTTACACAGGGCTACAGCAGCGATTACTGACACATTTCCTACCGAGCCAAGACTCTACATCAAGGGATGCACTGCAAACAGGCCACTGTCACTGCGGAAAGTTTGAACGGCCCTGTCCTATGCACTGAGAGCACTGGGTTGACTTGTTCACTGAGTGCAAGACCACGCTCCCTCTTCCCCACAGAGCTCCTCCAAGAACATCTTCGTCACACCGTAACTGAGAGAAATGCACACAGGCCGAGCCACACGTACAAAGGAATCGGGTCTGAAAGCACTTTGCTAAGAACCACAGTAAGTTGTTGCCTACTGGCTTTGAACAAGGCAGAAGCTTAAAACCGAAAACCACGCAGCTTTGATGCAAGTTTAACATACAGGTATGAAGAGTGCTGCACTGTAATTCCACAGTCAGAAGTGTGATGTCAGAATAGCCACAGTATAAGATTACATAGAAAGTCACCAAGTTATATTATATTGCTTGTTACCTACCTGTATGCAGTCGGCAATGAGAATCTTGGAGCAAGCAGGAATACTACATCCGGGTCCTAATGTCCATTGCCATTTGTGGTACTACGTTCCTCACAGTTATGAACTGCAGAAATGCTGGCTAAGTGCAGTTATGTAGCAGGCCACTAGTTTTAAGTGTAAATTGCAGTCTCAGAAACTCCAGCAAAAGCTTGCTGCCACAATAAATGGTTGCCAAGGAGAAGCCAAGAATTTTTCTACCACAAAAATACCACAAAATCTCAAAAGCAGTTTCAGGTTCTCATCAGCTGTATACATGATTAGTTAACGTGTCTACACCAGAAGATGGGATCATTCTCTATTCATTTGAGAAAGTGTGAAGATATGAAGATACCAGTTTCTACATGCTGCAGTTTTTAGATATCAAGTGTCAAAAAGGGCTCAAATTTTGTTAAAACAAAGCTAAATTGCAACAGCCAATGTCCTCCAAGTCCAGTACAAAAATAGGTTATGCAAGGCAGACCCAGCCAGGAACAGGTCTGCCCAACCAAGCACTTTTCTTAGTTGTTTTGATGATTCAGTTACATCGATCTGATTTGCTGAAAAAAGTCCAAAACCTCATCGGAACAGATCAAAGGAACATGAGCTTCTCACCTCCCACGTTTCATAACTTGATCACGTTTTAACATTGACACGTTTGCCAGCTTTTAAGACACTACCTTTAAAAGGTCTTGAAGTGAAGTTGGCTATTTAATTGTCATGCCTGTTGAATACGTGCAACTCAAAGCAGAGCTCATTTTAGAGATTCTGCTTATGCAGCTACAACCAAGCCAGATTTAGCCGAGCTTTCAGATCTTTTGAAAACTGCCAAATCCTCTCCATATATTTACTATAGTCATTGTTTTTGCAACTCATCTAGGCTACCAGCAGTAGCTTATGTACAAAACAGGGTACCAAAAGACCACCTCTGTAAGGTACAAGGACATCAGCATCCTTCACTCTTCAGTTACAGAGCTACAAAAGAACGTACTTTAGGATATGCACCAGCATCTCTTTAATAAAGAATGACATGTCATCTGAAAAATAAACTGAAAACATTAATTTCATGTTTGCGTTCAGAATTCCCCAGCTCAGACACCTTCCGTTTTTGTGGGTGTCCCACGAACACCCTGCAGAAAACACAGGCATTATTTAGTTCTCCTTGAAGCAAATTGCAGTGGGACTGCTGGTTTTAAGCTCCATATCCAACACAAGTACTCCCAGATACCTGGTCTGCAGTGCAGGAACTGCCAGTTCAGAGCTTCCTGAGTAACAATTCATTGTCTTAGCACGTTATCAATCTCCAAACTTTTCTGGGAAGATAAAAAGCATTCACCAAACCAGCTGAGTCACTATTTGGTGCACTGAATGTTCCAGTCAGTGTTACCTGGGACCAGTATTTCACAACATGCCACTTTGGTCATTTAAGGGGTATCAGCACTTACAGTGAGTACTTCACAAGCAATCATCTGCACTCTAAGATACTGCACATCTGACACTGAACTTTTAACCACAGAGAATTTAGCACAGAATTTAGAGTTAGCCAATGCTCAGCACGAGGAGTGGAAAGATCACTGTTAAGATTGAAACTACTTACAGAACGCTCAGTAGTTGGGGAATTGCATGAAGGTACAGCCAGCTACGTCTACCTACTGTGTGCTAAGCAGGTTTGTGTATCCTGCATTAACACCAAGGCATTTTATGCTGGGAAGTCGCGTTCCCAGCTTATCTGGTACAATGTAATAATAAGCAAAGCAACTACCTTGAGTCCAGAATGCTTTGAAATTCTCCTGAGGGGAGTTAATGAAATTAACAGCAAGCTAACGAATTCATCAGATCTACAAAACAGCCTTGAAGGGAATTTATTTGTACGGTGCAGCATTAACTCCAGATTTAGATACTGCTTTTGATGCATTACCTCTACACATCAATAATAACAATAGCCATCGTGCAAGAATGCTCATTTCTCTGTATTTTACATACAGGCTTTTATGATTTATCCAGCAGCTACAAGATTCAGGACTAGCTCCTGCAGCCCCCATAATACAATTGAATTCTGAGCTATGCAAATTAGTCCACTCAATTAGCACGAGGACATAAAGCAAGTTACAAGTATGAATTAGCAGGTTCTCCCCTAATCACTTGAGCAGCACTTCTGGGTTGTTTTTTTTTGCCAAGCAGTTTCAGGCAGGTACACAATACGGAGCAAGGCCAGATCCTGCAATCTCAAACAGCTTAAGAGCATATAAATATCTCATTAATAACCCGTAAGTTAGGGAGTCAGTCAATACAAGTCTTTCTATGGGTTTATTTTAAAATAACCATTGCTAGTCTTCTGCTTAAAGTCTTTAGAAAGTATCAAGCAGTAACTGCCAAGGTGGTAAGTGCAACCAGCCCACCACCCGTCATCCAGAGCTAAGGTAAGAAATGCTTTACATGCTGCATTACTTGCAGCGTAGCTTTCGTTACCGTTATCTGACAGCATCTGCAAGATTTTGAGTTGCTTTCTTATTGCAGCCCAACGTTCAAAAATCTGCACCTACTGGGCAGTTAAGCTATTTGTCCCAGTCTTAGGCTAGAGGCTTCATGGGAAGAGATCTCAGCTCTTCACTACAGTTCCACACCCTGGGCCTAGTTGGATCTCTATGGCAAGACTCTCAGTTTACTGCTGAAGGTGTGGTTATATTATATTTAGCCTCTTAATTTAACCATGAATGGCAAGAAAAGTTACTACATTTAGTTTTCTATTTATTTGAAGCACAGTAAAAAAAAGTTGGTACACTTTGGGAATTCAGTGGCACAACGTACACTGCCATCAAGTTAGGGACGTTATACATCAAAAAAACAGCTAAACTTGTTTTGAAACACTGCATTACATAATTAAGTTGTACTTGCCCAAACAGACCACTTACAAATATTAGGTCAGTAAGTTTCTAACATCCATAAAAACGTAGCTTTCTTACTAAAATGCAAGAATTAAAAAGTTGGTGTCTAAACAAGACAGACAAAACAAACTGGAATGAAACTACAGGTCACATCTAAAATCGGGGCTTTTTGTTTGGGCCTTCGTATTCTTCTCTCCCTCTACCATATCCTGTTGGTGTTCCAGGCCCCATTCCTCTAGGACCCTGGCCACCCACAGGCCCCGCACCTCCCTGCCCAAAGCGTTCAGGACGCTATTGGAACAGAATTAACAGTTCATTATATGTAGTTGATGTCCATGTGTGTTAAGTATATATTTTTAGAAGGTTCCGCAGTCAAGGTTCGTCGATACAATCACCATTGAGCCGATCCACAGGTACCGGGAACATAGAAAGGAAAAAAGGGTAATTTAAAAATTAGTTTATTGTAATACATGCCTTGAGGTATGTTCCCACTTGATGCATTCTCATACATCTGTTACAAAGAACAGATCCTCCCTGCAGTGCTAGAAATGTAAGCATTAGTGCAGATGTGAATTAACAACTTTTCACAATGAGCTCTAGCAATTTTCAACCAAGTTAATGCAAACAGCTTGCAAACTTCTCACCTTTAGTGCGATAAAAGCTTAGATTACATCACTGTCATTTCCAAACAAGCCTAGCCAGAGAGAGCTTCTTCAGTTCACTGAAGTACGAGCTGACATTCATGAAATGTCACTGTAAACAGAATGCCTACTCACCAGTTAATGGCATGTGCTGCAATAGAGCCCATGTGCTTTTCAAGATGGGGTTAAGACTACGGTCTGCTGACTAAACTGTAGAGGCCTTAGGCAGTAATCAAAACTGACAGTGAGTGCTACTGCATTACAAGAAGAAAAAAAAATGTGAAAAAGCTCATGACCAGTGATTTACCTAACCAACGCAACTGCTCCATCAAAAGACTTGCTTCTGTTCCATCCCACACACTCCGAAACTGCTGCTGTATGTGCAGTGTGTGTTCAGAGAACCACAACTGACTCCGTTTCAGGTTAGAACTATGCACAAAGGGTTGTGTGCATCCAGTCAATAGATCCCTTCCCACCCCACCTTCATCACAAGCTCCTGGAAAAATTCACAGCTTCAGTGTTGAAAGGCTTCACACCAAGATGTAAAAGCTAAGTTACCCTGCAATAAAGCAGAGACTTCAGATATTCTTGCTAGCACCTCCCATTGCACGTACTTCATTCAGTTACTGTAACAGTAGTTGTGATCAGCATTCAATGTACAGAACTGCCAAATTTTAACAAAAAGCTCTCGACCTTGGTCTCAAGCACAGTTTTCTGCTACCAAGTAACAGAACAATGCTGGGCTGTTTGTTACAAAAGGTACCTGCAACTGAAAACTCAGACCCCGCTTCTGAAAGTCAGTTTCACTCCTCCCAAGGAAAGTTATGTCAAATGCTAACAAATCTTTTTCCTGCCTACTTTGTGGCAGCTGGAGTCTACCTCCTCTCCCTCACGAAGATGTCAGCCCAATAACTGTGACAGCACTGTGTGGCAGAGATCCCCCATCCTAAGAAACTCAAGGCCATCTCCCTGTCACACGTTTCCAGGTATTACACTCGTTCAGCATGCACCTGTACCAGGGATTTCAAGAGGAGAAAAATACTCACAGCATTTACCACAGACTGCCTAACTATTTGCTGGAAGCTTAAGAGCTGCCTAAAGGTATCAGTAGACTACAGGTACATTAAGGCCACCAGCACTGTCTGCTGAATCGTTGCGGCTCTGCAGAGTTATGGTTTCTAAGACACAGTTCCCATCAAAACAGAAGATATTTGATAAGCTGTTATGGTAGCTCACAAAGTTAAGCCAGAGGCCTAAACCCACCCAAAAATCATTTCGTTCAGCTTGTGCAACACAGTACACCCTGTAAGAGGAGGGTGAAAGCACGCTAGTATCACCACCTCAACCAACAGCTTTCCATTATACCCAGTAAGCATTTCTTTAACCTGGATCAGCATTGCTTCAGTGTGATAACACCAAGCAGGCTCAAAGCCCATCCACACATATAGTGTGCCAAAAATAGTGCAGCTTGGAACCATACCTCGGAGCACGAGATATGCAGCAGCCTTAACAAACTACCTACAGTCATCCCCAACAAAGAGAAAGCAACAAGAACAGGCTATCATTTCATTCCCTTGTGGATTAGGAACCACAAAATGGCTACAGTCAGACCACTGGAACGTGCCCTAAGTCTTGAAAAAAAAAGACAGCAATCCTGCTTTTCTATAGCAAACATCAGCATGTAGAGTAAGTGATATGCTGCTCCCATTATCTAAGTTAATCTGCTACTTAAGAGACGTTGGCAGATTTCTGAATTAACAGCATATCTCTAACAGCATGCATCAATTCTACCAAGGCTTGGAAGGGCCAAAATAAATGCAATGTTCAACTGTGGAAAGGAGAACAATCATCTCACTTGCCCATACAGAAGGTCACATTACTCAACAGCTGCTACTGGTATTTTAATTCTGAAAATTTTCGTATTCTCTAGAATTTATAAAAATCCTTCCAAGCCTAACTGTGATGCAGAATTTCTCAAGTCCAATAAGGTCAGAGTTAATTGCAAATATGCTTAACAGCACATTTGAATTCAGTTACAAACAACTTCCAACTGCGTAAACTACCGTAATGGTTAACTAAACTAGTACTACATAATGCCAAACTACTCCTCCATGTTAAACACCTGACGAGAAAGTCAGCAGTTAACAGTGAAATTTACACAACCGAACACAGAACTTCATTTCCAACTGCAACTTTTCTCTTGTGCTAAACTAAAGCCATCACAGGATACGTTACCATGTCACTTCCCATCATAGAACCACTCATGGCTGCTTGGCCAACTCCTGGATTAGCTTCATAACCTATGCCGCCTCCACCTCCAAGAGGTGGAAATTTCTGGGCTGCAGAAGCATAAGGATCTAAGAAAGAGAAATATATAATCATATTCTGACAATTTCTGAGGTAGCCACATTAAGTAATCATTTAAAAATTCTTTACCTCCCATGTTCATTGTGGTGGCACCACCCATTCTCATGTCTCTCTCCCTCTGCATAGAAGAAACAACTTTTAGCACAGAAGCTACGACTGAGACCCAGCCTCTCAGGAGACAAAGCGTGCGCACAGCCAACTACTACCACCTCAATTACACAAAGACACCACCTCTAACCTAAAGGAAGCAGAACACGACCTCAACAACATGCAACAACTCTGGAAATCTCTGAGCACGGTCATCAATCCAGGAAACAGAGCGGTTTCACTTACGGGATCCATATAACCCATTCTACTGTAATTCTCTTCCCTCTGCCTTCTCATCTGTTCTTCCATCTCTCGCTGACGGATCATCATCTCCTCCTCCCGTCTGCGACGCTCCTCCTCCTGCCTGATCAACCCAGAGCAGATCATTAAACCACGGCAGTCACACACACCAGACATCAGCCCCACGCACGAGCAGTTTCAGTTAATGATTACGCTTCAGAAAAAAAACACAATCAAGGAAAAAAAAACTTGAACTGCTGTTCAACTTCTCATCTACAAACTGAGGCAGCAATGGTCTCTTGAAGAAAGTTTTCACAAATCAACCATTAAAAAACGCACAACTGAAAAATCCTGTAAAAGCCAGACCAACCTGAGCTGAATTTCCTTGCGTTTCTGCATTTCCTGATTATGGAGTTCTTCCATACGTCTCAGTTCCTCCTGACGCCTCATAAGGTCTGCAGAAACCAAGTCTGTCAGCAGGAGCTCCACAAACTCAGATTTAAATTCAGATTTGAATTAGAGTAACATCAATCATACTACTGCAGACACCACACAGCACTGGTCTTAATCATACTTTTAGGTCAGACTGAGGAAGCACACTTATTGGAGCTGTTAGCAAGTTAGGCACTGAAGGCAGCATTCAGAGCAAAAACAAGCATGAGGAGACAAAGAATCCGGAGCCCATTACCTTGACGCAAGAGGTTTGCCTGATGCTCGTGATAAGCATCTTCCATCTCACTCTCGAGTTTGTCCTTGGCATCTTTCATGTTTTTTGCCACTTGTTCTCTCTGTTGTTTTTCCATTTCATCTAAAGATTTCCATCTCTGGGAATATTCAAACTCAAAACTGCCAGGCTGAGCAAAACGGGGAGGAGTTTCTCTTTCCCTGCAGAAAGGAAGATGCTCAGCCAGGCTGCACAAGCCTCAAAAATGAAGGTCAACAAAAAAAATCACTGGCACCACAGCCAAGCACAAGGAAACAAAGGAAACCAGGAATCACCTCAACAACGTGATTAAAGATTGCTTGGACAGAATGAAAACCATACAGCATTTTATGGATTTAAACAGCAGCATTTAAGTTAACTCAACAACTACACCAAAGGCAAACACAGAGCGTCTCCTGCACCATCACATCCAAGCAAATTGTTCTGCTTCCTGTTCTACTGCATGTTTACCCTGCAGCTTCCTCATCAGAGCCCTCCTCTGCAGGCAAATGCCAGATGCAAAATCCAAAACTAAGATGAGCCCTTTGCCCATATGCAGACAGCTGCTGAAAAAGCCCCTGAGCACGGACTTTCCAGAGCTGACTTACCAGAGTACTGTGCTAAAGCAGAGTAATATTTACTTTAAGCTAGACTTCAAAACATCTGAGAGCTGACAGCTTATGCTGACAAAGCAGCTGAAGTTAAGAGATGCAGTAGTTAATGGAAAAAATAGAAAAGTTGAAGAACTTTTCACATATTACCAATTCTAAGCACTTTTAAGGTCTCAGGAAAAACACTACACTGGTCTGCACTCTTTACAGGAACATGGTTACTAAGGTTCTTGAAGTCTTTGATCAAAACAAGTGATTTCAAACACTTTCTCACATAACACCCATAAGGCCTTCTCCATCCACTCCCTTTTGCAGCCTGAAAAGCACAGTTCTACAACAAACAGGCTTACATGCACAGGTCCTAACCCAAAACTCATCTACCAACTCTCATGCACAGTGGTCTCCTGGTAAGGCAAGTCCATACATTTGGTAACCATGTAGCAACCTGAGATTTTACTTTGTTTCTCAAAGTAATAATTCCAACACATTTATTTCCCAATGGAACACCAACATAAGTCTCACCACCACAATTACCAACAACAGAACAAGCTGTAACAGCTGACACCCGATTTCTGAGCTGTGCAATTACACTCCTACATTTAGCCCCAAAATCTGTTATCAGGCTGATATTTATGCACCATTTGTGATATTCAGAGCCAGGTTCCGAAAAAACACCCTAACTCTTACACAGTCAGTGACCATACTACGTTATCTGCAGACTCATTATAGCAAAAAGAGCATGCCTACTTTTGGTACATCGGGTTCTTCTGAGCAAGCTTTTCTGGAAGACCATCTTCATCATCCAGTTGCTCCAACGGTTCCACAATAACTGGCCTAGGGGTGCTAAATACAAAATACACACGCTTTACATTTCTATATCGATCCTTGTTCTCATATAACAGAAGGAACTGACAGTTTTACTCCGCTTAGAACTAAAAACCCTGAGAAGCAAAATACTTACGTCGTCAACAAGAACACTCCCTCAGTACACCGTTCAAACGCTTTTCTGGCAGCTGGCTTTGACGCAAATTCAACAATGCCTTTTCCCGTTGATCTACCTCGATCATCTACAATCACAACAGCTCTCTCCACCGGACCGAACTGGGAGAAAGCTTCCTCCAGTAACTCGTTGGACACGTAAGGAGAAAGGTTACGCACTGACAGCGCGGCGGCGTGCGTGGCAAAGCGAACGCGGAGCTGCCGGCCCCGCATGGGGGTGTCGTCCAGTTCTGCCTTGGCGATTTCTGCCAGAGCTCTAGATTCCTGGGGGAAGTTTAAAACCCAGTTTTAGGAAATCGGGTTATAAGCCACTACCTGCGAGATTTTTTAGGAGACGAGCAGACGGTACGAATGCCTACCAACTTAATGAAGCCAAAGCCTTTTCCTTTGTTGATAAAAACCTCTCCCGGCTCCCCGTATTTGGCAAACAACCTTTTAAAGTCTTCATCCGTTATATCGGCGGGCAAATTCCCAACAAACAAACGGCACCTCTGAGTGTAAGTCTTCTCCCCGGGCCTCCTCAGCAGGGAGAGGTTTGCCTTAAAGCCCTACGAAGAAGCAGAGCACATGGAGCCGGCGCCGCAAAGCCGCGGTCGGATCCGAGCGCCGCCGCCGCCCCCCCCCCGCGCAGCCCGGACCCCCGCCCCGCGCTCCTCCCCTCAAGATGGCGGCGGGAGCGCGCGGATCTCCGTACCCGGCCGCAGCCGCCGCCATCTTGTGGCTGGGAAAGGGGGAGGGGGCCGTGACTCACCTCGTCCGAAAGCTTGTCGCCGCCGGCCGGGCCCTGCTGCGAGGAGAGGCTCTGCTGTCCCTGGTGCTGCTGCCCCCGGCCCCTCGGCTCCCCGCCCGGCCCGCCGCGGTGGCCCGGCCCGCCCTTGTGAGGCCCGCCCGGCCCCTGCTGCGGCCCGCCTGGCCCCTTGGGCCCGCCGCCGGGCGACTGTCCTTGTCCTTTCTTAGGGCCGCCGGCCGGGGTGGGGCTGGGGCTCGGCTTGGGCTGCGGCTGCTGCTGCCCCCCGGGGCCGGAGGGCGCGGAGGAAGGCGCGGAGCCCTGGGCCTGCTGCTGCGGCGGCTGCCCCGCGGGCAGGGCGGACGGAGGAGGCGCCCCGGGGCCGGACTGGCTGCCGGCGGGGCCCGCCGTGGTGGCGGAGGACGAAGAGGACGAGGACGGCGGAGCGGAGGTCGACGCCGGAGGCTTGGGCGGTTCAGACTTCGGGCCTCCGCCCGGCGGGCCGCCGGGGCCCTGCGGGCCGCCCCCCATAGGCCCGCGGTTCTGGCCCATGCCCATGCCGGGCGGCGGAGAGCGGAAATCGTGGTTGGGGCCGCCGCGGCCACCGCCGCCGCCGCGCCGATGGAAGCCCCCGCCGCCGCCTCCACGGCTACGGAACCGATCCCGCGACATGATGGTGATGGGGAAGGCGGAGAAAGAGAGGCGCGCCGGCTGCCGTTGCTGCTCCTCAGAGTCCGCTGCTCAAAATGGCGGCGAGCTAAAGGGCCTCGCCGCCGCCTTTGTCCGTCCGTAATATACCTTCCCCGCCCCCGGAAACCGCCCCCTCCTCCCCACTAACCAATCCTCTGCCGCAGCGGCGAAGACCGATAGGTAGGGCGACAAATGGCGCCCCCGTGTTCCGTAAACTCTTTGATCCTATTGGTAACGAGCCTACCCTCCGCCGATTGGCTCATTTGACCGCCGACATCGGGACAGGATGATCCGTTAACCTCCTGCGTGCTGATTGGGCAGTTTGACCGGCGGGAGGTCAGTTACGACGGAAGTTCAGCTTTCGATTGGCTGCCGGGGAAGTCAGTCGGGCGCGAACCCGCCCGCCCCGCCGAGCGGCTGCTGGCGCTCCGCAAGCCCGGTAGCCCGGCGGTTCGGTTCTGTTCGGTTGGGTTCTGCCCGGTTCGGCCCCACCAACGGGGCGGCTCCGTTGGGCCTCCCCGGCGCGGTGTCACTTGTGCTCTGAGGGCGGGTTTGATGAAAAGTTTCCCATGTGTTCGTTCAAGCACGGCAGCGCAACACGACGCCAACGTGGGAGGTCTGGGCCAGCAGCGCTTTGACCCGAGCTGCTGTGAGGAGCCTGGCAGGGGAGGGGCGTAAAGATTTCCTTCCAACTGAGAAGAATCATCTGCAGAGGGGTTTACAAGCCCCCCTTGTAAACGAGGGGCACAGCTCTCTGCTGTCTCCTCTGCTGATAAGAAAGCAGATGTCAGTTCTCCAAAGCATACCTTCAGGTAGATAAACAAAGAAGCTGTAGAACCCGGTGTTACAGCTGGAATATCCCATGTTCTCAGACAGAAAACAGCCCAAAGTGGCTCCCATCCATTCAGTGGGGATGGTTTCAGTGGTGGTGCACTGGCTTTGCATTTAGCATGCTAACGTTAGAACAAAGTGATATTTTTAATGAGGGCTTTAACCCATCAAGGCTCACGTTGACATTACGTGTTCGGTTTCAGGCCAAACGAAACAAACTGGAAGTGAAGCCCAAGGGAAAGCCACGTGTTCTCTTTATTTGGGCAGAAACTGTGAACGTTAAATTGCAGAAATTGTGATAAAATCTCATCAATCTCATAAATATTTGTGAAGTACCGCACAAAGGCAGATTTCACTGCCTAACAAAATGGATTTCCCTTTGGCTTTAAAAGTTTGAAACAAAAAGTTTGCCAGAGACCCACCTTTTCCCCACGTTAGCATCTCCCCAGGCTGTACGACTTGAGCCACTTCCATCTGCAGCAGAACGAAGGCCCCGAGTTCTGTTCTAAAATGGATTCTTGCCGAGATGCCAGCCCTGCAGCGAGCAGTGAGCGCTTCCACCACGAGGTGTCTCAGAGGTTAAAGCGCTGGAAGAAGCAATTTGGACTGGCTCTTACAAACAACTGGCGTGGCCTCCTGGCAGTACTTGATTATTTCTGAAAGCTTCAAAAATTATTGGGTATAAAAGAGTTGATTTCAGCTTTGTTGCATCCTAAGTACAAGTGAACAATATTTTAGGAAGCTATTAATCTATCAGCTTTTGAAAGAAAAGAGAGTATAACTGCGGTCCCAGACCCAAACAAATCTGGACAACTTCTTTGAAATACACAAAATAGCTTTCAGCTTCCATGTGCCCAGCAAGGTCCAGGATACGAGTGTATGTTTTTGTAACGCTGTAACTGCAATAGGAGTATTAATCCTGGGCTTGAAATCAAAGACACACAAACGTAGCTATGAGGACTTGAAATAAAAATTACCTCGGCTAGCAATCCCCTGATTTTGTAAATATTCACTCTGGGAAGCTTGCTGTTCTAATAGAAAAACAAACACTGAGGAGGAAAGCTTGTTACCTCTCCCACCCTAAATAAACATTGTGTCTGAGACTGGAAACCCGGGACAACCAAAGCAGTACGCAGCTGAAGACAGAAAAACACCTGCAGCAGGCTTTGGAAGGCATTTGCAGAAGGCAGGCAGACACTGAGGTCTGAAGTCATTAATGCCTCAGTAGCCAACAAGGATAATCTTCAGTTAAGAAAAGCTGTCTGCACAAATTCAAGTAGTGTCACAGAACTAAAGATGCTCAGCAATTAAAAAAAATAATCAGGAAGGAAAAGGCAGGAGCAGACAGAGTGCTTGTGGCAGTGAGGCATTCCAAAAGTGCAGGCTGGTGGCCTTACCCTGCTGCAGGCTCTGCCAGTCAAATCTGTGGTGCTTTCTGATCAACCTGTCTGGAGCAGCAGGGATTTCTGCAGAATTTCATTATTCCAGCATTCAACAGTTTCATGAATAGCAGCGTCACCTTTAAAGAATAAAAGAGGAAGTAAAATGCCTACAGCAACATCTGGTACATAAAGCTGAGAAATGATGAAAGCAGTGGCAAATAGCTGCAGCGGCTCCTCAGCACAGCAGAACTCTCAGCAGCCTTCCTGTGCACTTGATGATGAGAGTTCTCCCCTCCTTCCCTCCTCTACTGTTTCCTTTCCCTGCTTGAGTACTGACTGATTATATCTCCTTTTATATCTCCTTTCCAAGAGGTTGTTCCTGTACACTACGACAAATATGCCTGTAGGCCATTTTTAAAGCCAGATGACTGTAAGTAACGTAGGTCTACAGGAGAGATTACAGTGATAGTAAAGCAAATGCAGAGAATGACTGCAGGGAAGGAGTTGATTGTCTTTGCACAGTCACACCGTGATTTCTTCGGATATAATCTTGACTTATCATCAAATAAATGAAAGCTGAATCAGGTTCAAGAATCTACACAAAAAGTAATAGAGTATCTGCAGGGAAATCTTCTGTCTGAAACAAACTAAACACCAAAAGTTCACAGTTCTGTTGGAGACTGTTCTCTCCACCTGAAAAGATCAGGATTTTCCCTTTTACATTTTCTGAATCAATTTAAATTCCTGAAATACCTTGAGTAGCAAGAGTTCTGAGACCTCTATCAAAGCACTGGAGACATAAATTTGGTCTCCTGTGAAACAGACAGTCAGAGCACCATGAGAAAATGTAATAGGAAATTTCCCTTCCTTTCCCTTCCTTCTCATCTCTTACCTTTCACTCTTCTCTCCACCTTTCCTCCCATGATGGACAACACAGCTGCCATGGGAGGTCATAGGAGTATCTCTGGTCTGTCTACCATTGCTTCGCACTGCTCATCAGATCACTCCTCTACACCACTGTGCATTCCAGTGTTTGTGAGGGAGAGTTCACCTGGTGAGACTGGATGGGTGAGACCAGCACTTGGCCTGAAAAAGAATCCATGGAATCATTAAGGCCAGGAAGGAAACGTTCTACACTGCTTTTATAACTGGAGAATCGCACACCTACTTATCATTCATACCATGCAGTTCCCAGTGCCACAGCCTGTGATCCCCTCATGACTTTTAACTGAATACAGTAACTTAAGAACACAGAACTCCAAGATGGGGGAAGTTCTGTGGCTTGCCCAAATTCACAGCAAGATGGGAAGAATGTCTCAAGCACTCACACAACCAGGCTCTCCCACCCCTTGGCTCTCTGTTTTCTCCTTACTCAGCAATAGCTGTGTTCTGCCAGTGGATGGAGTGAAGCTTGTACACACTGTGTGTGTCTGCTGAAGGCGCAGAGGAGCGTGCCAAGTCAGTCCTCCAAGAGGCTCCAAGAGCCCTCAGTTTCCAATGAAGTCAATTGGAGTTAAGGATGCACACTGGCTTGCAGGAAGCAATCAGCAGAGCTATATGACAAAGCAATCAATCCGTACATTTCTTTGAGCTGTGGAGAGACAAAAGATATGCATAACTAAAATTTATCCTGTCGCCATACAGCTAACAGCTTTCACTTCTTCTGTTAAGATAACAGAAGGTAATAAATATGGGACTGGAACGAAAGGTAGCTGTTAAAGATAATCCCATTCCTCATTGCCATGGACAAAGACACAGGCTCAACAAAAAATACACGCAATAGCTCTGCTAAACTTCCAGCAGTTCTAAGTTGCAGCTGTGCTTAATGCTTGCCACAGTACCAGTGAGGCAGAAGAACGGCAAATCCACATGGTATTCCTTCCAACTGCCATTGCTTCCTGAAAGTTATAAAGACCAAAAGAGGGAAGATTGGAAACAAACAGACAGTGGGCACTCCGTAGATTATTCATGTCAATTTTCAGGAACTCTCAGTAGACAGAGATAAAGTTCATACTGTTATAACCCCAGAACAGTAGACTTCACAGAGAACTGATTATCCAACAACCTGATGCCTATCCCAGGCAAAATTTCTGACCTTGAGCACGCCGAGATTTTGCAAAAGCCCAACACTTCACTACTGAAAAAAATATTAGCTTTGGCATCTTATTGAGACAAATAATGCCCTCTCAATCTCACCACACCACAGTGCCCACCAGAGCCCGAAACAACGTCTCATTGAGTTCCTTCTAACCTCACCCTCTATTGCTCTGCGTCTCTCAGTCTCCCACTGATCAAAGCAGCACAGGGCTGTGCTACAGGAAGAAAGCTGATAAGGGGGGGAGTTTCGACTGCTAGAAGGGAGTGAAGAGCAGATGAAAAAACAAAACTGAAGACACACAGAGAAAGAAAAAATGGTATTTCCTCTCTTGTGCCTTGACGCAAGACTGTGTTAGGAATGTGGTGTAAACTCCAGCTTCTGTGAACTGGGTTGTCATTGTAAAACCTTACCAATAAGGCCATTAAATTCCTGAAATACCTTGAGTAGCAAGAGTTCTGAGACCTCTGTCAAAGTATCGGAGACATAAATTTGGTCTCCTGTGAAACAGACAGTCAGAGCACCATGAGAAAATGTAATAGGAAATTTCCCTTCCTTTCCCTTCCTTCTCATCTCTTACCTTAGCAGAAGCAAGGTCTGAATGTAGTTGGAAAGCAGTCAGTGACCACGTAAGAATACTTACTGCAACAAATAGGAAGTTTTTGCTTGCTCTCTCTGCTATGGACTGAGTGCACCAATGCCCAGGAGGACGTCAGGACCCCGGTCCTCTCTGAGTTTTGTACTTTTTGCCATAGACTTTTTCACCC